GAATACATAATTCTCGTTCGAGTGAGCACTCGATTGAAACGATTTTTTGGACGTAATGAGCACTTTTAATACATAACTTAAAATTCAGTTAAAAGCTCAGCTAGCAGTCTGAGGATAACTATGTTCAGAGTGATTGATGTTTAGAATTTCATATAGTTGAAATATAATTAGCTCAAAAATTCTCTTTTTTCTTGAAAATTTCATACAATTTGCGAAACGATTCTTCAATTTCGGTGAGTTTTATTTAGTATATTAGTTATTATATATAACTGTTGAGATTGAATTTAGTTTTCTTTCTTCAGTACTTGTAAAGATAGTTTGGTGTTACTTTTGTTTTATATCGATATCGATGACTAAGATGCAAAACCTGAAAAGTGATATTTGTTATGTAAAAGTTATTTCAATATGATTATTTGTTAGGAATGAATTTTAGCATATTCATTTGCTCTCTTTAATGTTGGAATAGTGAGTGGAATTTACATGAGAAGCGGTTATTAAAATTAAATTAGATTCAAATCACTCTATGATAAAATAATGTGTTAATTGCTTATAAAATGACGGTTCATGTTGAATTATATATGAAATACATAAGGTTTATCATTATATATAAAAATATATAGCTTTTATGAATCAAGAATTGCTATAAAAATTTTAGGTTTAAACCCTCACTTGGTCCTCAAGTTTGTATGGAAATCTCAGTTTGGTCATCATCTTTTTTTCTGTCTCAATTGGATCATATTTTTTGTAAAAATGAGCACATTGTACCATAACCGTTAAGTGGTGTGAGACGGCGTTAAAATTGATGTGAGCTGGATTTTTTCATTTACTGACGTGGCATTGTGCACTAAAATTGAAAGGTCACGTGGTGATGTTTTGACTAGAACCAGATCTTCTCCTCCTTCCTCCTCTGCTTCCTTCTATCGGCGCCACCCACCATCTACAACACAATCGCAGACCACTGGAAAACACGGACCATGTAGCAAGTTGGCATTCCTAGATTCTTGTAGGAAAAGATATCCCTCTCTGACATATGAGGTTCGTGTGCTTGAGAAGGAACTTGAGATTCGGAATGAGGAGAGGGATATCCCTCTTTGACTTTGAGAGGTCTGAAATGTGATCAGACATTGGAAGCTTATATGATGCAACGTTACTTATATGATGTTGTACACTTAAATGCCCTTTATGTAAATCTTCAATCTGCGACTCAAGATGCAAAAGTTTGGAAGCTGTTCGAGTAAGCATTACTCTCGAGAATTGAAGCTCATTCAATTTCCTATTTAGGGATTCTTTTAAAACCTTGTTTTCTTCTTCCACAGCACATAACTGCTCTATCAAAGTATTGATTTTTGTAATGGGAGTCTCAGGAGAAGTGTCAACTGAAGATTCAACCAGTAAACTGTTGGTGCTCAATTTGCTCCTCCTTATTTCAAATGAATCCCGTCCCAACATTTCAACTTCATTTTTCATTTTTGCCAGGGCAGCAGGACCTGGTAACCGTTTCCGGACCAGAAGCCGCAGCCTCTGACATTCTAATTCTAACTTGGCAATTTTTTTGGTACTCTCTAATCCCTCTCTGGCATGTGAATGATTTCGATCTGTTTGACTTTGATTCAAGTAGAGGCTTTGGTGGGTGGCGCCGATGGAAGGAAGCAGAGGGGGAGGGAGGAGAAGATCTGGTTTTAGTCAAAACATCACCACGTGGCCTTTCAATTTTAGTGCACAATGCCACGTCAGTAAATGAAAAAATCCAGCTCACATCAATTTAACGCCGTCTCACACCACTTAACGGTTATGGTACAATGTGCTCATTTTTACAAAAAATATGATCCAATTGAGACAGAAAAAAAGATGATGTCCAAACTGAGATTTCCATACAAACTTGAGGACCAAGGGAGGGTTTAAACCAAAATTTTATAATTAGATTCAAATTATATGCCCCATGAAAGTGTAACAAAGAAACTACCAAGTACTTAAGTAAGGCAAAAGCCTTGAAGAAAATGCCCATCACCAATCTCATCAAATTATATACTGAATTGTTGTGATTTTTTAAATTTCTATTAATTTTGGTACTGCCAGCTTTGGTTTGGTCAAACATCCATAAATATTTGTGTTTAGTAAACATATGGACACTGTCTTTAAGGCTTAATGTGACAATCAAAGAATTTTATGTGCAAAATAGACCCTTCTAAAATAAATGCAATTGAATTGTTTTCAACTTTATTTTTCCACCTAGTACTATCCATTATTCATGTTCTAGCACAAAAATATAAGCTAGAGCATTGAATATGCTCCTTCTTCTTTTCATTATCATCCTTATTTAAAGAATTATTATGAAAAAATAAATTTTTCTTAGATTTATTATATTTATTATTAAAATAATTCTTTTATTATCATTAAAAGTAATTTAAATGTCTTAATGATAATATCATAATTTGTTCATCAAATATACAATACTAACACATGAATATATAATCAATTGGATGGAGACATATCTCTTAGGGTTATAAGATTAAACTTTAGCCATAATATTACTCAATCTCCCAATCTCATATTTTTGAATTGAGAGGCTCACCATGAAATTTGTTTTCCAACATTTTGTCTCTAAGTAAATTCCATCAATGACTTGTATTATGAAGGACGAATAAAATTGTTGAAAATTCGATAACTGTGTTGTTATTTTATGATTAATATCACTAGTAATTCAATCATCAACTTGTATTGTGATCGAATGATTAAGAATGCCACTAATTTAATAATCAACTTGCATTGTGATCAGATGATTAAGATGATGAGTCATTTGATTTATAACTTTAAGATATGATTGAGTAATTAAAATCATCATTCATTCAATTCACACCTTTATGTTGTGATAAGATGATTACGACCATCGGTTATTCGATCTACAACCTTAAGTTGTAATTGGATTATTAAGCTCACGATCATTAGATCTATAACTTTCTTTAAGTTGTAATTGGATGATTGAGATCACCAAATTGTATGATCTACAATAATATGATTGGTTTTCTTGAATCCTTTCATTATCATGGTGGTCAAATTGATAACATTCCTTTCTTTATTTATGCCTCATAAAAAGCCCAAAAGAAAAAAAAACACTATAAAAAGATTAGCAATATTCCATGTTAAAAGTTATTTGGATGACTTCTCTACCATTCTAACTAATAAGTCTCCCTCCCTAAGACTTCACTTAATAAAATTTTGGATATCTTGACGATAAATTAATGAATCATCAAATTTCTTTTATCTTCTTTGTTGTTTAAATTCATTATATTTATTAATAGGATACTTTTTTAAAAAATGAGGACAACTAGGAGAGAAAGATGAAAGAAATATACATAATAAATGAAGTAAAACAAATTTGATGATTCAACTAATTATTGTTAAGATGAAAATTTTTTATTGAGTAGGAAAGTTTTGGGTAATGAGGCATATTAATTAGAATCACTTTGTGGAGAAGTTATCTGAATAACATTTACCATGGAATATTGTTAATCATTTTTTCTAAGAGGTATAAATAAAGAGATGACTGTTATCATTCATTTAGCCAACATGACACTCAAAAGGATAAGAAAAAGTAACTATATTATTGCAGGCCATATGATTTGATAATCTATCACATCATCACAACTTAAAAAGTTATAGATCAAATTGTTGTAATCTTAATCACTTACTTACACTTTAAAGTTGTAGATTGAATATAGGTGATCTTAATCACCGATCACAACTTTAAGATGTAAATCAAATTAAAAATTGAAAATAAAAAAAATCTTATTATTTATATAATTTGTCAAAAAAAATAATTAAATGGATGTTAGATAATGCAATCCCAAATATAAAAGTTTATTCAAAAGAATGAATTAAGTCTGTGGATAATAAATTTAATTGATTTGAGAGAGGAAATAAAGTAAAAAGAATATGTAAAGTGCAAGATAATTTGTTTAGATAGAAAAAAATAAATATTTGTAAATTTTAAATTGAAAAAAGAAAGATATTATTTATATTTTTAAATTTTAAATTTTTATTTTTTACAAAAACTAAATTATATTTCCCCTCACATAATTGTTTAATTTCTCTCTTTTGTCAGAACCAATTAAAATTTATTTTTAAAAAATTGAATTGATATTTTTAAATAAATATTTTCCTACAATACATTAATTTGAAATTTTTATTATTTTCCTCCTCTATTCTTCCTCGAATCTCTTTTGCAAATAGATTTTTTTAAAAAAAAAAAATCCAAACTAATTATTTTCTCAACCAGCTTTATTTTTTCCAAAATTCGGTCATGGAGTGCCGAACTCCAAAAGGAATTTTGTTCCGGAACACGTAAATGGAACTGAAAATTCTCAAAATAAGCTAACATATTTCCCCATAAATGGATTTTTTCTGCTTCTCATGCAACGTTGCTTGCAAAACCAACGTGTAAAAATATTCTTGATTTTCGCATAAACTGGTAGAAATGCATTCAGCCCAAACGCAGAAACAGGAATTGCTTCCTTTTTTTTCCTTCTTGATTTTTGCGAATATATGCTCAAAAGGCTTCCAATTCACTAAAACAAGAGCCATTCTAAAGCACATCTATATAAAACATGCAGCCAAAATGTGGTTATAAGACTACAAATTTCAAGATTTTATTGATGTTTTTTTATCCGACACTCATAATATCCTTATTAAATTAGTGACATGATTTATTATCAAGTTTTTTCTCTCTCACAAAACAGCTATCATTCCTGTCATCACATTCGTTTATGAAAAAGACAAAGATTCTCGATAACCTGCGCATAACCCCATATTATAAACACTGGAAAAAGTTACAGAAATCATTTTATTGCTTTATGGATGCCGATGATTTCCCTAACACATTCTTTCATATCGCAGGTAAAAAGCCAAATACCGCCAACAAAAGAAAAGAGGAAAATATTTGCACAAATGGCAGTATAGTAAAACTTTTCAAGAGAAATTAGACCAAACAAAATTAAGGTTCCTTCCAAATAAACTCTAATACCTCTTCAAACCCAAAGTTACAGTACCTTTTACATTTGTATTTACACTGATTAAATTACTACCCAGATCACCAGTTCCAACCTTGAAATTCTAACTGAAACAAAAAAAAAAAGCAGAATAATAGTAATATGAGTCAGATAAAATTTATTTTTTTCGTTTCTGCATAACCGGATCCAACTACTGAAGCAGGTTCTGGCCAAAATTGTGCATTCTTCACCTTTGATATGCTTGCCAATACGCTTAAAGGAGTCACATCACCAACCACTGTAACCTTCTTTGCCGCAAAGTCTATGTTGAAGGATGTTACTCCTGTCCGTGTAATTAAACAATACATGAATAACACCATCAAAGAACAAAGTCCCTTTCATAATTAATCACAACGTTAATGAATTTATGCTAATTATGTCAGAATAGATGGAGAAATCAAATTTGATCATTAAATACAAGATTTTTAAGTCAAATAATCAGAATATACAGTTACTTACAAAACTGTTTGAAACTGTTATCATCTTATGTTTGTCAAATCTTCTAAAAGAGGAAACATGCCCTCTTATTCATGAACTCAAGCAGTGATATGTGTATTTTCACCTCTCATCAAATTAATAATATCACCTTGGCCTCTGTACTTTAATTTCATTACAATCTTACCCTGCAAGCCTTAGAACTTTAGTTCTGAAACTTGATCTAAATGGTGACAAAACATTTTAATAATTGCATGTGACCTCGTGTTAAATTTATGGTTCGAAAGAGAAGATTTTACGAGAGTGATTTTCATACCTCGCATTCTGGAGAGATGTTTCCTCACCTTCCCTTCACAACCTTTGCAGTGCAGAGAAACCCTCAAAACTACAACCTGCAAGAAAAATCATTCAAATGAAAAAGCTTTCTTATATACATCTGCTGTATATAGTCTATCAGAAGAGGTTAAGAGTAGTAGACACGAAACATATGCACATAATTCAGATAGAAAAATGTAAGTGTTTAGGGTCATGTGTGTGTAAGTACAAGAGTCACAAGGAGAAAACTAAAATAAGAAAAACTAACTTTAAGTGTAATATGTGCTATTCTTCAACTGTGATTGAAGTTTCACCTCAGTGATTCACACAAATAAATTTTGTATTGAAACGATTATGCAGACGAGACTTCATTCTGATGGAAGAACGGTTCAAACAACATCTAAGGAATTGTATATAAGTTTTGTAAAAAAATTGAACCTGGTCTGAGGAAGCAGATTTTGGAAGAGAGGAGCTAGAAGAGGGTTTAGATGAATGGGTGGTTTCATCATGATGAAGGACCTGAGCTTTGTCCTTGTCAACGTTAGTTAAAGCCAAAACAGGATCATAAAGTGATGATCCACCATGGAAGGAAGGCATGTCACCGAGCAAATATCTTGAAGAACCAGGAGGGGTGATCAAATCAGTAGGTGGCCTAACCCAACTCCTCCTCAGAATACTATCAATTGGTTTTGAAGAGTAATTGTTTGTGATGTGTTCGGTCAACTTTTCCACACTACTTTTCTTCTTTTGATCAAGACCCTTTGCCGGATTTTTCTTTTTCTGGCCGCTTGGCTTGGAAATGGAGTTTTTCTTAGGCTTGGGGAGATGATCATGCAAAGGTTTAGGAGAAGAACTAGGGACAATGAAGTCTCTGGAGGGTGTTCTTCTTGGATCTGTGATGATGGGGTTGTGGCGGTCAATGGCTCGGCCACCTAAATGAGTAGTGTTGGAAATGGAGGAAGAGGGTTCATCCATGCTAAGACATATGGCTGTTGAGGCCTGTGATGCACAGAAGATATCTATGCCTTTCATATCTCGATGATCAAGGGTAAGAGGTTCTGCAGTGTAACAAATGAAGAGACAGAGAAGAAGGTTGAACCAGAAGGAAAGTTGCTACTCACTGCTTTTAAGCTTCAATTGGGAGTGAGTGAAGTATGGTTGGTAGGTTGAGATATAGAGCAAAGAGAAAACATGGAAAATTCAAAATTGAATTGGTTTCTTGTTTAATATGTGGAAACAGCAACAGTAAATGACGTAGGAAGGAAATGTTTAAACTTTCCCAATACCATAACTCGTTTGGATATTTTTTGTAACACTATACCACACATGCATCTTCAAAACTAAACTATATAAACGATGACTAAAGTTATAAATTTATCCTCATGTGAAAATTCTTAGTATCGTTTCTGATAATTCTCAAATATTAATTATCTCATCTTCATATTTTACATAATCCAGAAATAAGTGGTGCAAATTCTTCAAAGCATTCCATAATACTTATCTTATATACTAATTGAGGCTTTGTCATTCTCTTAAAAGGGCAAAGATGTAGAAAGGAAATCATCAAATTTATGTAAAGGCAGAGAAACACAGTGATTTTTATGACATGCAACCAACATTACTGTTGCTTTAAAGAATGAAAATGACACAAAATAAGTACACTGAAATTGCCTTAACTCTTTGTTTCTTTCATTATGCAGAAAGAAAAAAAAAAACTTTCAATGCATCTATTCTTATACATATAAAAGTTTAATTTCAATGCATCCTCAATTAATAAGAAATGATTATTGAAATAATTTTGAAAATGGCTATGATTCATTATCAGTGCATGTGGTATTTAGCCGATTTATATATTCCAGGCTTAGTACTTTTTGTATCTTTTTGCACGGGTGACTAAATGTCTGTGATTATCATTGCTCCCATAATAATACTACGTGATAATTATTTCTTAAAGTAATGATTTTGTGCAACAACATATGCATACATGGAGGTGCAGACATGTTTTGGAATGACGTGAAGTTGCAGCGACATGAATTTCCATTTTATGTGGTGGCTTGAATGGAATGGATAAAAAAATGGGAGGCACAAACAACTAAAGCACAGTGAATTTGGGTAATTCTCTGTTGCCGTGTTGGCTTGTTGGGCATGGCCTACACTACTTACCTACCAACATGCACTTGACAGAAGCACTTTATAGAACATTGAAAACTTAGTCAGAGGAAACAGCACAACCATTGAGTACATGCTACAGTTTCATGTGCTAAGTTCATTCGGATCACAATTTGTGTTTTATAAGGAAATAATAATGCTATCGGTGAGACACTAAACACACCAAATTAAACAAGTTTAGTGTTGATGATAATTGATGCTGGTAAGCAATAAGGAAACTAGTAAAGCATGAAATCTGCTTGAACGTTTGATGCTGGGACACATGAACTGTGCAACTTGAACACAATACGAAGAGGAAAATCAAAAACACAACACATTATAAGATTCTAATGGAACAAATTCTGCCAGTTAGTAAACCATTTCGAATTTTGCTTTCTTGTGGATGGATGCGACGCAAAGTCACTTTTTTTTTTCTCTTTTATCAACTAAAAAAAATGAACGAAATTCCCTTCACATATTCATGGAATCAGATGCTTCTGTGGCTTTCTTCCTTCTCTTTTCCTCCTTACTTTATTATCTTCTTCCCCCATTTTTGAACGATAGCCAATGTTCTGCACCCACCATTCAAAATTCTCTCTTTCTTTTTCCCCTTTATTCTGTTTTCTCTTCGATTCCAATCCTGAAAGGTTTTAGAGATAGAGCTGAGCTTTTGTTCTATGTCACAAGGGATGGAGGCAAAACTATTATACTTGAATTACCTTCTAATTTGAATCAAGATTCAAAACCTCTTAAGGGACACTAATTCATTATAATAACGTAGATTATTCAAAATATAATAAGATGAAAGCCAAGTTATAATCCGCGTTAGTAATTTTGGAGTGGTTTATTATTTTTCTCTCTCCCTAGGATTAATAATATATGTGTTCTGTTATAAAAAAAACATAAATTATTATGTATTAAATGTAACGTCCCAGAATCTTTAAACCAGTTTTTTATAAAAAAAACACATAATAAAGTATTTATCTAAACAAGAGAATATCAAAATCCATCTTCCTATTTTATGTCTTAGTTCTATAGTTTCCTAATACCTCCTCATCCTTGATATCTCCATAAACTCACATTATTAAGGTGATCAATACAAAAGATAAAACAAACACACAAACAAACAAGGACGACAATAACAACAATGGTAAGCTAATGTTAAAAGAAATAATATCAAGATTCATCATATATTATATTTCATACAAAATTAAGCAAACATCTTAAGCATACAATGAACCTAGACATGACATCCAAATATAAGTATGAATGTCGAGCTATGACAAGTCATGCATTTGTGGTGGCCTCTACTGCTCTACAGAACCATTGTCAATGGGTTTGACTCTACCACACTCACAAAGTTAATCCGTTCCGCATCTTAGGTCATAATGGAGCACCTAGACTAAGACATCATGCTACTCTCACCACATGCACCACTAATTGAGATTGGATAACCATTAAAGTGTCAGGATAACCCAAAAACTGAGCTTCTTACATTCATACATACCAATCTTGAAACAAACATTAAGAATTTCACCTTTAGAAACTCTTATTTTTTTAGTTTATTAGTTAAACAATTTGATTATACCTGGAATCGCATTATAGTTAAATAATAATTTATGCATGTTTTTAAAATTATATTGTATTGAAAACAACAGAGAAGAAATCTTTCAATATGTACATGATAAAAATGTTTCTACTACACCCGCATAGTTTTATATTTTTTTCTCCTTTCATCCTCTTAGACATCTTTTAAGTAAAATTGTGATGAAGTTTTACATTTCAAAGTAGACAATACTTTAGATGAAGGGTGACTAACTTTAATGACGTTACTGATGGAAGTGTACTTTAAGCCTAACTCAATCCCACAAAATCAGCTTATAAGATGAGGTTTGCACCCACTTATAAACTATGAATTGGTCTTATCTCTAGTCGATGTGAGACTTTCAACACACCCCTTCACGCCGAGGTATATACATCTCGAACGTGTAGAGTTGTAAAAAAATATTACAATTAATTAAAAAAAAACAAAAAAGGTGATTAACGTCATATATTAACAAAATTCGATGTTAAGTTAACGTCGTAATTTGACGTAAACGTATAACTTTTTAAATTCGACGTCAATTTAATGTCTCGTAATATAACGTCTTTTGCGAATTCGCTGTTAAAAGCCCAAAATATTCAACGTTATACTTTTTTTGTACTAGATTCAAAATGAGAATAAAAATTTATACTATCAATATACATTAGATTTTAAAAATATGTTCATCTTCTAATATACAAATTAAGAAATGATTCAGGTACGTATAATATTAATTATTATTTAGTAAAATATAAAATTTATAAATTTATAATATATATATATATATATATATATATATATATATATATTACTATTATTGTCTTACAACTTTATAGAAAGAAAAACTTCAACATATAACATAAATAAAGAAAACATGTAATTTAACTAAATAAAATAATACAAATTATAAAGAGAAGAAAGTTGATATTTTATTTTAAAACAAAATATATTAAATAGAAAAATTTGCTTACATATCTTATTTTTCTATATCTAATTACTCTTTCATATTTAGTTATACAATGTTCAAATCGTATGAGTAACACATTGAACAATTTACATAGAAAAATCTATTTCTCTTTGTGCACATTATTTTCTCCTGCCTGTATCACTCGTAATCTTGTCAAAACGAGTATATATTATTTGTATTCATATAATGATATTAAATGATAAATCTTATATTCTAACAATCGGCAGTATTAATGATTACTTTAAAAAGAAAAATTTACTAATAATGAATTTAAAAATAAATATTTCAAATATATAAAAATGTGTTATATAAAAATTATTAAAGTTCATTGAAATATTGCCCCCAAAATGGTCCAAAACGAGCTTAGAGAACTTGGTGAGAATTGCCACCATAATGGATCATGGCCCATTGGCCCATTGGCCCATTCATCCTTGTGAATGACCAAGATATGTGGGAATTGTGTTGTGGGGATTACCAAATAAATCTCCTCATAAATACTGTTTCTGTTTTTCGTCTAAATGTTAAATATTCAACAATTATTTATTTATTATTTTAAAATTTTGAAATAATATGAATTATTTTTCAATTATTTCCTTATTTTATTTAGTCTTAATTAATTAGTATAATATATTTTCACTTAACTTCATATTTTGATGCGGAGAGTGTAGTGCATATTTAACTGGATACGGATTTATGAAATATTAAAGTTATATAATTATAAAATATTAAGAGTCATATAATAAATTTTATATTTATCGAAAAAATAATTTATTTTATTGTAAAATATAAACAGTTAGAGAGACACAAAGGTCAAAGTTTATGTTTAAATGATAGTAAGGATCTGAGGATTATTGTTTTGTTGAAACAATCGAAACCACAATTTTTTGTGAATTATTATTCGACAGAGTTAATGAAAAAATCATTTGAAACTTAATTCTAAACTTTTTTTCCTTTTTAAATTTAAGCGGAATGCAAATTTAAAAATAAGTGTAAACTTAAAGAAGAATATACACTATACTATATATTTACTAATAATTAGAATTAATAAACAAAATAAAAGTTTTCATAATCATTTTATAAGGTCAAATAATTTAAGATGTTTCATTTTTACCTAAATTTTTTTACACGTTATAAAAAAAAGAGCAGGCAAGACTATTTAATGCACAATGATTATTTTTGCCCAGCTTTATCATTCAACAGTCTGACTAGTTCAGATAACATCACCCTCTAATCTACAATAAATAGAATAAAAGTCTTATAGCGATTTAGTTGAATAATTATTATATTGGTAAAATGGTCTATCAAATATGCATTTGGAGTAGGGAATTCACTAAAGATAAATAGGTAGTTAGTTTCTCTAAAGTAGATCAATGTTAAAACATCATAGATACTCCGCACTAATGATATAATATATATTATAGAAAATATATTTTTGGATAAATATTTCTGAACAGTATCTTACTGGTTTTATTTGTTTTTTTCTCTAATTTTATATAAAAATTAATAGTCACAGTGATTTTTAAAATTTTATTTATATTTCATGATAAGATATTAGTACACTTAATAAAAATAAGATAATAATA